GCATTTGTTGGAAATGCTTTTCGTAACGCGCCAAGTCTCTCAACCACCACATAGAATCACTGACTTAACTGACATTAGTGTTGAAATCTGCACCTTGTTCTTCATGCTGAGTGGAGTGTAGTAGACCTCCACACTGATTTCTGGTTAATGAAGGGAGACACATGTCTTTCCGATCCTGGCTTTGACATCCTCATCTGTGACTGTGCCGCTGCCTGTAGTTGAAACGATGCTGCCTAGATAGAGAGGTGGGTGAAAGAGACTACTCCCTTTAGGTTTCTCCCGTTGATGGTGATTGGTGCTTGTTGTGGTTATTGTTATTGTTGTCGGTTGGATATCTTAATCACCTCCATCTTTTTTCTCTACATTCACCTGAAGGGAGTTCCGTCTTCGCTGCCCTGTCCCTTTTACCAACTTGTCAGTTTTCGCCTGTAGATCTTCGAGTTTGTACGACGAGACATGAGACATAAATCATCATCGGTGGCGAAATCCAAATCTTCCTTTGTGTCTTTTCATCAGTTCAGCCAGCGTACGACAGTCTTCTCACTCCTCACAGTTTGTTGCATGATCCAGTGCAGTCGACCACAATCAGGAAGGTCATCGGTGATAGTAAGCGGCAACCTTGTCCTAATCCTGTCTTCATTTCAAAGGCAACACTGAGCTTTCCATTGTGAATCATTTGGCATGTTGAGTCGTCATAAAGCATGCAGCAGTTGAATGAGGTTGATAAAGGTTTATGGTACTAAAACCATAGAGTAGAAGTAGTTCTCAAATTATTTCTCGGTTGATGCTATCAAAGGCCTTTTCAATGTCGATGAAGTTGAATTGACTGGCATTCTATGATGATGTGTAGCGTAACGTTGCAATTTGATCCGTACATGATTTTTCTTCCTGAAGCCAGTCACCCCCTTCCGGTAGTAATTTCGAATCTAGCGCTTTCTTTAATTTCTCCAGGATGATGTGGCTCAATTTTTTGCTTTGGGTGGACAGTAGCATAATTCCGCACCGGTTCTTGTAAACACTCAGGTCACCCTTCTTTGGAAGTTTGACAAGGTAGACCTTCTTCTAATCAATGGTAGGCACTTTCCCTTCCTTCCCTCCAAACCTACTGCAATGGTAGTCTGAGCATGTCCGCTGTTGTCTCTGTGTCTGCTTTCAGTGTTTCTGATGGGATTCCATCTGGTCCTGCTGCTTTCCCAGATTTAGGCATCTTTATGGGTTCAGGACTTCACTTCTGTCGGAGGGCTTGTGTTCACTGGTAATTCTGTGGATGGGCTGCTAGTGGTATTTCTGGACGAGTTGCAGGTGGCGGTCGATTCGAGAGCTTTTTGAAGTTGTCAACCCATCTTTTTCTTTCTTTCTCCTTTTTGGTAACTGGGTTTCCTTGACTATCTTTTATTAGTTTCATCTGCGTTGATCTCTTCGCAGATAGTAATCTGTCTACTTGATACAATGTTGTCAGGTCTCTTTTAGCAGAAGCCTGTTCTGCTTCACTTGCAAGTGTGTCATAGAAGTGTCTTTTGTCTTTCCGTGCACTCTTCATTTTTTTCCATTAGAGTGTTTTATAGATTGCTTCACCGTCTCCTTCTTCCTCGTCTATCACAGCTTTTATGTGTCCGTCAAGATCCACTTCATTCCTTGCCTTGTTTCTTCTTCCTTCCTAATACGGTTATGCAGGTTTCTTCAGGGATGTTGCTCTATATCTCCCATTTTGTCCTGATGACTGACGTGAAGAAGTATTTTGTAGTTTCACCCTTCAGTTTCTGTTTTGGGTATTCAACTTGAACTGTGGTCTATCACCAACATCTGTAAATGCTTTCAACTTGGTTTTGAAGGCAGGTTCCTTGCACTAATAGTGAGTAGTATGAACCTACATCTGCTCCTCTCCTCCATCTCGTGTCCAGTAGGCTGCGTCTACACTTTCTTCACGTTAGGATGAAATCAATCTGATTTTTAGTATGTCCATATGGTGAAACCAACTCCATGTCGCTGCTCTGTGAATATCCTTGTGCTTGAACACACTGTCTCCAATCACCAAGTCGTTGAACGCGCAGAATTCTGCAAACAGTTCTCCATTCTCGTTCATTTCACCGAGTGCTTCTCCACCCATAATAAGTTCTCTTCCTGTGTTGCCCGCTCCCAGTTTGGCATTCATGTCACCCCACCCATTAGGATTTCGATGTCATCAACTGGGGTGAGGTCTTGTACAGTACTCATTGCAGTTATCTATAGAATTACTCCTTCTCCTGATCTAGATTATTTTTAAATGCACAGTGTAGCATTGCATTATCGTGACTTTCCTTCCTTTTTGAGTTGAATCTTGCTGTCATGATCATGCAGGAGGAGATTAGTTCACACTGCATGAGAGAACATTCAATGCTCTTGGGGTAACATGATTGCCACTCGAAAACTCAGTGTGCTGGTGGTTGTCATCTGGGTGACAAAATCGTAGTAGAGTATTGACTTTCCAGTTGACAGTTGGGAGAGTCCACTTTCAATTCCGGCTAGTAACTAGAGAACTAGGCGAGGTGTACGTCAGCTCAATTGACAGAATTTTAGCCGTATTACCAAGAATCGAAAACCAGTAATTCCAGTTCTCTTGAGGACTCCAATCAGGCAATCTACATCTCCCAACAAGACTAAGACCAACAATCACAAACTTCACGAACAAGTCTCACAATTTATTCAGGTCACTCTGAGCCTTTTTCTAGCCCGATCCTTCTTCGGCCAACATTGCACGTCGAAGTGGGCAGTGACTCGCAATGTGCGACACATGCCAAGCCACTTCAGTCGGTGTAGCCTCACAACCTCATCGGCTGACTTCCCGAGAACTTTTCACCTTACCTCAACATTTCCCACACAGTGAATCCATTATAAACAAGCGATGCTTCGAAGACAACTGTGGTCAAAAACTAAACCGTTTCCACTTTCAATGACTACGTCTCACAGTCGAACAATAAGATAGAGCAGATCTTTCACGGGAATTGTCATGTTTCTTGATAGACTTTTAGTTCAAACTAGAGTCTACATTTTATCTACATCGATAGCCTATTATTTACAAGAAAAATTATGATTTGATAACGGTCTTCACTCTCCGAATCATAAATGACACACCAGAAGCTGTCACCACCAATTATCCGTCATTCCACAAAGAAGTCATCCTAATGACTACCTCAAACCAACATGAATTATCCAGAATGATCTTAGTCTAGTCACCTTGAACCCCCTTCCAACCTAACCCAGCTTCCTCTAGCATGGCATGTCGAGGTAGGCGGTGGCTCGGTATGAGCAGTACTCCTTCTCATAATAAGTCACAAAGCAAACGCTGGGTCTTTCTGCATCTACTGCACTCTATATTTGGTAGTGTGATGCTAAGCAGAGTTTATCACAGTGAAACAATTATAATTACTGTTTAAAAGGACTGGCAGGTAGGTTTTTTTTCAGACCACTTTTGATGCACAACAGGAAACAAGATATATCTAGAATGCCACATTTTTCGACAAAGGAACTTCACAGGATAAGACAAACACAAGCGTAATGATCCAAATGTAACCTCTTAGTTTCCTTTAACCATTAGGAATCAAAGTAAGGATTAATCATACTACCTGACTGCCCAAACCTCGGTAAGTGGAATGGTGTTCGAACCCATAACCAACTAGATGGAAGTTACCTCCCTAAGCCAATGAGGCACAGCTCCCCAATCTAGTGTAAAGCACCACATAATTTCATTTATCAATTCTGTCCTATTGCCGAGCTGCAAACGAACTTTCTCTAGACAACTTATCTTAGTTTCACAGATTCAGATAGCCTAAATGAAGGCCATAGACTACTTCAACAGTGCTCATGGTTCCGGTTCCATATCAAATCACATTGCCGAAGTGTTTTTTTGTACTAGAAGACATCAAAAATAAATTTATTGAAACTATTTAAAGACATAGTAAAAGAAACACTGCCCTCAGATAATACTGAATAACTGTAGCTAACTGACAGATAACATCAAGGTAGAACCATTCACACAGGTGCATCAACTCAAGTTGCCACACTGCACAGTAAAACAGGGGGATAGAAAAAGAGGGATATCAAAAAAGATATAGTGTGAGAGAATAAGCAGTCTGAAGATAACGATCGATGCGAATATTCAAGCCTTAGATGTCAAGGAGTCAATACATCTGCGCCATTGTGGCCGATGTTCAGTCATTTTACTAAGAGCCCTTAACCACTGATTCCTTTCGTCTCGACAGCAAGATACCGACGTTAAGTACGCATTCAAGGAAGAGTTAGCTAAAGATTTATCTGAACGTGAAAGCAATGCTTATCCTGATGAAAATTTGTGCGATGTAAGTCTACTGTAAAGGCAAATGATAACCTACACCGAAACGTTAGCAAACCTCATTGGATTTCTGTGACGTCATCCGAACTGACTGATGCAAGAAGATTGATTCCAGCTGGCTCTGACCACATTGAAGAGCGAAAACAACTCAAACGTAGGTTGACCAAGAGTCTTTACAATGATTGTATGAAAAGGTGGGTGGCGAAAGTGAGAGATTGAGAAGGCATCAGCGTTGGGTAATAGTCGGCAACTACTTAGGCTTATTAAGGATATCGACAAAGTAGTGAATCTTAATCGACTAAGACGGCTTGAATATTTACTGCGCATGCTTAGTCACAGCATAATTTGGTGTGCAACGCTAGTGGAAACTCGAAAAGGTTGGAAGAGAGTTCAGGGTGGCCAGATCAAACGTGACACCAGTCGATGAAATCTCATGCTGTTAGTCTGAGTAGTTTGGGAAATGCAGACTGCCTGGTTGGGGTCCCCAAGACCGGTTATTATTAGAATTTGCAAGGTGAATTTAAAATAACATTTTCGTTGTAAACAATAAAACAATAACAGCAAAGTAAGGTGAATACAAAAAAAATATCACGAAATTAATATCACAACCATATAGAAAAGTTAGACTAGCAGGTGGAAAAAGTGTGAATACATCCAGTGAAGATAACATATTTCACGTAATCACTCTAGACTCAGCGATTTTTCCACGAATCCATTTCCCAATCTATAGATAGGATTTTGAGAAAGAGAAGAAAACATAGGTACAAATAGGGTTTTATTTGGGTAGTATACGTCTGAAGTTCTTCAAAGAATTATCGATTAACGATGTAACCGTGATACAATGTAAAAATGAGAGTCAGCAATAAGTCATTCATATCATGAGTGTTATTATCTGTTGACACTAGTAATTCTGTTGTTATACTGGATCCAATTAGTCGACTTCGGTTGGTATATGGGATCTAAGCGAATGCCTCAATACTGTCTTAATTCATATTATTACAATTGACTTGGTAGTCGCTAACAGGCGAATCCAAGATGCACGTTTCGTCCTATTTAAGACTGGTCAACTAGATGTACCTTCACGTCAGTGAGTGTTGTTCCGACTGACACTCGAGCCTCGTATCCAACGCTTTAAACCCAAGATCGTTATCCACTAGGCCACTGAGGAAAGATAGCCAGCTCTTGTGCAACGAGTATTAGTTACTACTATTTGTCGATGTTCACGTAATTCTCGGTTTGTATACTGCATCGAATTGAGCGACCTCTGTTGGCATATGGACTTCTATGCAGATGCCTCGGTATTCCCTGAATGTTAATTATGATTGGTTTGGTAGTCTGGTGGATAACGTTTTGGCGTTTGAAGTGAAAAGTATGAGGATCGAATCTCAGTGGAAACAGCATCACTTACTGGAGTGCAGGGATATTCAACTTATGAGTCCCAAACAGGACAAAATGCGCGTCCTGGATTCCTCTGCTAGTCACAACCAACTCAATAATAATACATATTACAACTAAATTTCTTGAGGCATAACTGACTAGCAGATGTTCAAATCAAATAAAGACATATCTTACAGCTCAAACAACTCAAGCATTTGATTATTAACGACACTGACTGTCATAAATTAGATACTGACTTATGCTGGCTGTAATATATAAAATCAAGTGATCCCAACCTAAATATCCAGGAAATAAACGAAAAGTAATAGGAAACTTAGAATTTCTCAGTGACTTCAAGGGATTGGTTACAATTACCAAGATATTTTTCGCAGTTGGATGTCATCGGTAGGAAATCCTAGAACTAACTTTAGGAATTGCTAACCATCATCGTGAAGTACATCTTTTGTCTTGAAGAGACTGATTTCCACTGAGTACAAACCCAAGTCACTTAGTGAAAAAGTTAGAAGTCTTACACCATTGGTCTATTCAAGCAGCGACTGAATAAAAGTAAAACTAGGGCATAAAACGAAGACAGTTCATCATTTTCCAAGAACCTTTCAACGAGGAGTTTCAGTATGTGATCTAAAACGAAGCAGACTTGGATCGCATACTTAAACTCTGTAGTTTGTTTTTTCAGATGAACACATGAACCGAATAAGGGAATTGAAGATTACATACAGTAACTTTACAAAATACTGACATTTCAAAAAATTTAAACTAGACAGTCTGATACTACTCGGTTACCGAGGTTAAGCGAGATTGAAACTCGAGCGGGACCTAAAATCTGAAATTCGACAGACTACATCCGTACAGTCGGTTTGCTTAGTGCCATCTGAATTCTATTGGTCAAATTTGCTGCGTGACGAAGAAGAGCTACGTATAACCTAATATCAGATGCTCAGGTGTGATCGACATGCGCTCCTCTCGGAGTCATAGATGACGTCTTGCTGTTGACTGTCAATAAACAGAGACATAGACAGATAAATCAATGTAGACCTGGCACACAAGTGAATCACCTCAAGTTGCGACACTTCGTGGTATCATGCAAGGAACAAGTGGAAAGAAAAAGACTGATATCAAAGTAGAGGAAGGTGTACAAGAGAACAAATAATATGAGAATAAAGATTTAAAAGACACCAAAGAGTGAACACATTTGCGCCGCTGTGATCAATTTTCAACCATCATCATCATTGTGATCAACATACAACCAGGCATTACTTTGTAATGGTCCAAGCTGCCATACCTCATATCAGCACATCAATTACCAAGGTAGTAAAATGGAAGATGAAGGAAACAAAAATTGATCAAAGGAAGTAGAAGTAGAAAGCAGTAAAAGAAAGGAAGGAAGAATGAAAAGATGATGAGATTGAGTATAGCGGTTAACATGACGATAATGTATGTAAGCAACCATGTTACTAAGAGTCCTCAAACAGTGATTCCTATCGTCTCGAAGATCTCATCAAGCAAGAAAACTAAGTTCGATGAAATCTCCTTTAAATTATCTCCAGCCATCCACAATTATCAATATTTTAGATCTATCAAAATGATGCTTTCTACATACATATGTATTAAACAGCAATCAATCGAATGCATATGCTTTGTATCCATAAGAATTGTGTCTTACGAGAGTAGTCTAGCAGTTAAATTCAAGAAAACTCCGACAATGTAGGAAAAATTCATAAAAATGGAATGAAAAAATAATTAAGGAAAGTTAATGGAGCTTAAAAATGCACAGACAGCCTAATCAAAATCATTAGCAAATACGATTAGTAGTGAATCAAGATAGTAAAATCAACTATTGTTGCCTTATTATTATTATGTCTTTTGTATGTGTGTGAGTTGAAAATTGTAATCATTTTTTTCAGTTAAAGTTTGGAAAAGAAACTCCATTTAATCATAAGATTTTACCTCTATTTTCAATTGCTAATTATGTCTTGGTCGTAATCCCCTTTAGACATTTTATTCAACACTTTTTGTTGAAATGGTGAAAGGAAAAAAACAGGGATAACAACAGATTCTCTATCTAAACAAAAAATATATCGAAGCACTCTACTTAAACAAAAATCGAATCCCTCGTATGTTATAGTTAGCAGTAAGATTAATAAAATCTTCATTAGAAATCCTAAATCATTGAAGCCTTTTCCGAAGTTTCAGAAAAAGCACGTGAACCAACGTGTGTCATATAGGTCGAAGAAGCAAAAATCTATGCAACATTCATATCTAGAAAGCTCAGGAAATATATTTAAACCCTTGGATTTTGTATTTATTTTTAACGATTTCACACACCTGTTATATTATCACCTAATCATTTACCAAGAATACTGGACGACTATCAAGGTATGGAATCTGAAAATTATTGTTCAAGCATCCACAAAAATATAATTTAGGTTATATTAAGTAGTCACTGCAAAAATATAACAAGTTTCGACAAGGGTTATAAAACAAGTGGCGACGGTGGTTATAACACCCTACTAAACTAGACTGACAATAGCTAAGTCCGTAATATTCGACTAATTAACTGAGTGCGAAAAGTATGGTCTTCGATCACAAAACTAGTGGTTCATAGGCGACAGCAATGAATAACTCTCATTCCACTGCAACAGAGGAATCTTTTGTTAATTTCGTCAAATCATATGGTGCATAAAACGTACTAGGGCGACGTTAATAAACCATGAGCTACCAAACTTTTTTCCACCCTTCTGTTTGTTTTAATCTTTTAGAAATGCCTTCAAAATGTATCATTTACTCTGGTACCCTTTTGAAATGTTTTCAAACTCTCGTTTCTTAAGCTAACAACCGAACCAAGAAAAATATTACGCCAGGTGGAAGTGAACTTGTAGATGCTTAAAAATAGAATTTTTGTACTGGCTGAGTGTACTACCACCAGGATGATTTTGCATCATCCATAAGTTCGGACTAGACACTAACGTATCACCTGCTACTCATTTCAAATTGGTGCCTTTAATTTTGTAATTCTTAGCACTATTCAGATGCGAAAATAATTTCTTTAAAAATATTCTACAGAGAGCATAGTTGTTGAAATTGTACCTTATGAAAATTACATAATTTGTCATTTGTTTTTTGCAATGAAGCGATTATTGTAAAGATGAAGAGTGGCTAGCAGTGGAACCCGGGATGTGCATTTCGCCCTATTCGGGACTCATCAGCTGCACTCACCTGCCTTCCAGTGAGTGATGCTGTTCCCATCGCGATTATCACTATTACAAATTTACAATCAGTAGTAAAGATACTAAAAAGCTTAAAATTACTTCATACTTACTACTTACTCACCTGAATAAGTTCATTCAAATTATAATTGTGAGTAAATTTATAACCTTTCTTTGTGAAATATGATACAACTGATTCTGTCGATACATTACCAGGTGCACCAGGTCCAGCAAATGGGCAACCACCAAGTCCACTAATTGATGAATCTATAACACGTATACCATATTTTTCTAAAGCCAAATCAATATTTGAAAGAGCATTCCCATGAGTATCATGACAGTGTATAGCAAGTGCTTCTTTAGGGCAAGCGCCAACACGATTTAAAATAACTGACAATAAATCATCTATGCTGTAAAGAAACCAATCATAAAAGATAGCACAATTTGTCATTAACAGTCATACAAGAAAGAATAATAATCATACAAGGATAATAAAAGCAACAACATAAAAACTATGCTCGTCGCACAAGAAGTGGTTATCGTGACTCGTTGGCCTAGCAGATAACGCTTTGGGGTTTGGAGCGATCGGTCCTTGGTCTGAGTCTTAGTGAGAAGCAGGTACATCGAGCTGATGAGTCCTACATAGGACGAAACGCTCGTCCTAGATTCCACTGCTTTCTAATATCCATAATTACTAAGAAACAATATTGTTTGATACAGTTTACCGTAGACTACAAGGCTAAACATCGAATAACCTTGACAGAATTACAGTGAAAGACTCTACAAGCATTCTGTTTGGACAATATCCATCACAATAACCAATGTTTGAATAAAAAATAAACATTATCATAACGTGTACTGACTTAGTATACATACACAAACACAACAACAATGAAGAAGCCAGGATGAAGGTGAATTAAACGTTTCTGTCACAACTCAAAGCCAGTAAAGAAGTTAAACCCACAACAACAGCGATATTTGCGAAAACAATAAGAGAACAAGTAAATGACACATTTATTTTATTTTCTTAATTTTCTTCTTGGGTTCCCTAGTGGAACATAGGGCTTCAGTAGCACGTCACCATTTCACTCTCTTTCCTGGAGTCTTAACTTGGTTCCACAACTGCCCAGAAGCTTTTATTTCTTCTTTACACCATCTCCTCCATGTCACGCCCGGACACCCTACTCATCGTTTCCCATTTGGGTTCCACTTCGAGGGTCTGGCCTGGTGCGTGATGTTCCCAAGTGGTATCCTCAGAATGCCCAATTCATTCCCATTTTGTTCTGCATATTTGTTGGACGATGGGTTCTTGGTTAGTTCGTTGCCAGCCAGTCAGACTTCCTCGTTGCCTATTATTACTATTCGGGCAATCTGATCTTCAGTATCGAGTGAGTGCAGACGGCAGCTGTCGACGTATATTTGCTATTTGTTGGAAATGCTTTTCGTAACGCGCCAAGTCTCTCAACCATCACATAGAATCACTGACTTAACTGACATTAGTGTTGAGAATCTGCACCTTGTTCTTCATGCTGAGTGGAGTGTAGTAGACCTCCACACTGATTTCAGGTTAATGAAGGGAGACACGTGTCTTGCTGTCTTTCCGATCCTGGCTTTGACATCCTCATCTGTGACTGTGCCGCTGCCTGTAGTTGAAACGATGCTGCCAAGGTAGAGAGGTGGGTGAAAGAGACTACCTCCCTTAGGTTTCTCCCGTCGATGGTGATTGGTGCTTGTTGTGGTTATTGTTATTGTTGTTAGTTGGATATCCTAATCACCTCTGTCTTCTCTACGTTTACTTGAAGTCCCGTCTTCGCTGCCTCTTCTGTCACATACACACATAAAAGACCTGAATTACTGCGATGCTCATGATATAGAGCAAAGTAAACAAAGAATATGTTAGCTTCAGAGCACAGTTTCTAACCATTGATCCCAAGTACCGTATGAATAATAGGTAAGGAAAAACGAATACGCCTAACACTTATAAAACTAAGAGTTCACGGTCATAGCATAATCACCTTTCTCTCTGCATACTCTAAATTAAGCAAATGCTGAGGTAGACAACGAACACCTATGCATAACAGATATCCTAGCAAAGTTACCATAGTTCCATTACCTCAACATTGCTCACTAATAGGTCCGAAAACTTGCCATTTTCGAAAGCTGTTTGTTGCCATAGAGTAAGTGGATTGTTGTGCAATATAGTCGGTCTCTGACCAGCTATCAGACATTTCAACGATACCACGAACGGTGTAGGTTGACATACGTAAAACGAACTTTGTGTCTATACCAACAAATCGTCAGTAATCATACCTTCAGGGGTGATATTGTAGTGGGCGTTGCTGATAACAACGGATATAAGTAGTATATATCGAGAGGGTGGCAGGAATCATAGGGAATTACCGGCAATGGGTAAGGTTTCTGCAAAGAGCAACGCAGGGGATAACACAGGCGCATTACGGGGAATGCTCCTGATAAGAGTGTATGAAGAGCAGGTCAAGAGCAAAACAAGACAGGAACGGAGGAGGAAACGAAGACTTTGCAAACGGCTAGGTTAGTGCAAGGTGCACCATATGTAACCACTACCATTCCAATTGTTCGTAATAAACATTCTCTCGTCGAGTTGCCTTCTGTCTCCTCAACATGACTTCCTAAAAAAGTAGAGTAGTCGAAGTACTTAATCACAACTCTTAATTCTTAAACCACGTATTGATTCTGGTCAATCTCGTAGCATTTTGAAAGATGAGAAATGAATCCTAAACACCATTAGCTTTTGAATGAGATCCTTCAGAGGACTTAACATCCGTAATAGGAATGCTAACTACCGTAAAATACAATTATACTATGAATGAAACTGGAACTTAGAAATGTAACAACCCCTAGATTCTATGGTAGACCGAAACCTCACAAGACGGAGATTCCCCTTACACCAATTATTAACCTTGCGAATTCGATAACTTATCGTCTATTTAAATATTTATCAAGAATTCTGAAATCATTTCAATATGATATCTCCTAAAACGTTAAAAACAAGCAGGATTTCAAAAATAAACTATTGGATATAACTATGGGGAGTGAAATTATGGAAAGTTTTGACGTAATTTCTCTTTTCATCAGTATGTCAATATGTTGTTAACGTCCAGATATTGTAAGAATTGCAACTATTGATAACCAAGGTGTAATATCTGAATGTCCACTTTCAACAGAGGATATTATAAAAGTGTTGAAGATAAGCTGAGAATCTACATATTTCACGTTTAGAGATAGGGTTGAAGTGGGTTCACCAGCATCTTCAGTTGTAGAGAATATATGAAAGCTTTGGAAGAGAGAGCATTAAGAAGTGTTCAATGCCAACCCAGTATTCGGTAAAGATATGTGGGTGATACGTTAGTCATTCTTAGGAAAGAAAACCAACAGATATTTTAGAATACATAAATTCTATTTCAGACTGGATAAGATTCACTGGTGAAGTAGAATCGAAGGATGGGACTCTAAACTTTTTAGATTGCCTTATTCAAAGAATGACCGAAGGTAAATTTAGTATAAAAATATACAAAAAACCAACACATTCCGATAAATATGTAGACTTCCAATCGGATCATTCAGTTAACATAAAAGGTACCGTCGCACTGAACCTACTAAACTGAGTGAGAAACATCGTAACCAATCCCAGTAATTTGAAAAATGGATATCTAAAAAGTTCTTGAACAACAATAACGGTCAAACGAATAGAACAGCAAGTACTACTTCTAGTAATAATAATGTTACAACGAAATCATGGGTGTCATTCATGACGATACTATATCGGAAAGCTACTTCTTACTAGATTAAAAGACTGTGGTTCACATGGTATTAAAGTCTGTTTTAAACCTTCAAATTCAGTGGAGAAGATCTTGATCAAAGTGGAAGATGCAATTCTTAAGATGACACAGAACAACTGTATCTGCAAAATTAAATGATTGGAATGTGAAGCTAATTATGTTGGATAAAGTTGTAGACCCTTAAAAGTTAGGGTTAGTGATGAACACAAGTTGTGTACGAAACATCCACCAAGGAATCAAGATGAATTAAAAAGTTTAGGAAAGCGATCAGCGTGCAATTGAAAGTGAACATACGGTTGACTTTGGGAATGTAGGCATATTGGGAAAAGGTTCGTATTCCTATAAAGAAAGATTAACTTTCGAAGCCTTGAATATTTTAACAGCATCAAATGCTATAAACAGAAAATAAGTAGGCTTGTCAGCTATTTGGCAAACATTATTACGACAAAACCATTAGTGACCTTTCCCAATTGAAGCTTAAATAACAATAACAATTGCTGACGGTTCATACATAAAAGTACAAGAAACAACACGTATTCTGTAACATGCGTATAAACACACATTGATTATACATTTTCGTTGACAAATGACAGTGACGAGTGTGAACCTGTAACGACCAGTCTGAATTACTCGGGCTGGACAGAAAATCATCTAACCAATGACCTACATTCACTAAATATTTGATGCATTATTTGGTGATATATTTTGATGTTAGCAAAGGATCCGTATATCCTGCTGAAGTGTTGACTTACACAATGAAACGTTCAGAAATATCTTGTTTTGGTTTTCTAAACATGCTGAGATTATAGTGAAATATATTCTTGTATTGATTAAATCAGACTCACGGTTCAACCCCTGCCAGGACATTCGTAACAACTATGGTCTGAACGCTTATAACGTATTTATCATAAACATTGTATTCCGTGAGTTGTGAAGCAGCTGAGAAGAATCCATGAACCACATAAATGCTAATTCTGCTACTTTTGTTCTTCTTGCTTCATGTGTTCAAAAATGCGGTCACAAATCCTTCTTTCTGTTTGTTTAATGTGTGTGCTTTGGCACGTATTTATGAATTGGTATATCCAGATGAGGACAGTTTGGAGTTTCGGGAACTGTGTCTGTGTACCTATTTTGTTATTGCATTTTGGAGGTGGGGATATGAAAACTAATCCAAATGAAAGTGGTTCCTCTTTGGTTCGGTTGAGTTGTAAAATGGATAAGTTATGTATATATTTCTCAGGATTTCTGGGAATACCATCAGATGTGTTTATTTTAAGAGAGTTCTAGACAAGTTTTTCTCGAAAGTTCTATAAGTTTTTAACGTCAGATTCTACTAATGTGTACGAATAACATCTAATTTCAACTGAACAACGTTCTATACTGTCAAACCGATGGACTCGGCATGTGCAGCCCCCTCTGGTATGTATCCTCGCTGATATCTTCATGGAGAGTCTAGAAGAGACGAAACCGAAATATACAATAGGCCAAACAGCGTTCTACGTGAGGCACGTAGACAATATATTTGTAGTATGTAATATGCTTCTCATTTATTGAATATTTCCTAATCAAGTGCACCACAATATAGCACTCACAATGAAAACTGAGCATAACAACGAATTTTTGTTCCTAGACCTCGGCTTACAACGTCATACAAATGAAAAGATTTATAGAGACATTCATCAGAAAGACACATGAAGTGGGGCTTATTTAGATTTCAAAAGCTTTTGCCTACTCAGTTACAATCGTACGCGTAATTTGCTGCTAAGAAAAACCTAAGGAAGAACTGATCTTTGTCAAAAACTGCCTACGCGAAAACGGTTACCCACAAAAGTTCATTGACAAATACGATAGGACAGAAGCGAAGTGCAGTACAGTTGACAAGAAGCTCACCCATTAACACCATACCTTTAAAGGGGATGGAATCCCCACACTGATGAGTTACAGTTCAAGTCGCCAATTTCACAGCAGTATATTGACGTAAAAGCCGACAAGGGAAGAAATAAGGAACGAGAAGGTAGTAATAACGCTACTGATATCGAAATGCATAAAAAAGGTCATGTTGCAAAGCGAAAAGAAAATAACTGTAATGAAGAGGTACGGGATTGTAATACAGATAACGAGTTTCAGACATATAACCTCGAAAATTCAACTACCTATTTCCATTACCTACTAGGATCAAATAATGAAACCAACACTTCCTAATATAGCTCAGGCCGACGGTTTGAAACTCTATAGCATTATCATATTTTGGTCTAACCCTACTCAGCCTAAAAGTGCACTGACGTAGATGGTGGATAAAAGTGAGTAACCTATGCCCCGTGTTACTTAGCTGATGAAGGCTTATAGCCTTACAGAATTACTTGCTTCTCTATTTTTTGATGCTTGAGCTCTGAACTGCTTTCCACACAGTGATGATACTGTAGTGGTCAATCACCTCAGGCTATCCTAAAATTCTACATTTTTAATTATCACTATGTTATTTATTTAAAATGCAATCTAGGTAGAACACGAAGACCAAACATGTGTCACAGTTCTAACGGCTGTTTTACACTAATATGGTGAAATCCTAAATCAACGAACGACAAGTTATTCATTCCAGAGATAGACAATTATTATTATTTGTCTCTTGGGTTCCTAATGGAACATAGGGCTTCAGTAGCACGTCTCCATTCCACTTGTTCTCTGGAATCTTTTGAACCTGGCTCCATGACAGCCCAGAAGCTCTCATTTCTTCCTCGCACGATCTCCTCCATGTCACCCTCAGCTGGGACGCCCAGCTCGTCTCTTCCCCTCTGGGTTCCACTCGAGGGCCTGACGCGTGATGTTCCCGGTCGGCCTTCTAAGTGTATGTCCAATCCATCTCTACTTCCTTTTGCATATTTGTTGAGCGATAGGTTCTCAGTTGGTTCGTTGCCAGAGTTCCTTGTTGCTTGTTATTTCTGGCCATCCGATCTTCAGTAACGAGCGTGGGCAGTTGCTGATGAACGTTTGTAGTTTGTTGGAAATCGTTTTCGTAACGCGCCAATAGAGCCTTCTATATTCGATAAGAAACTTCGCGAACCACTAGGCCACTAAGTTTGATGCAACTAATTTGCTCCTTAGTGTAAGGTAGGGCATCAGTACAGAGCAATATTGAAGCAAACGTTAACACTTATATAATAAACGCAACCCAAACACTCTTAAATTATTAGTTCAAGCATTTTGAAGACCTAGTCTTTTGTCACCATCTTTACCATACAGTAACACAGAAACTTCCAAAGCTATGGGTCATTCGACGCTTAAACAATGACGAAATATACCCATTTATTCATAAATAAGAACAAAACATGTATCAGCGAAATATTTCTTTTCAGCCATCATCTGATTCGGCAATGCGTAAAGGATAGGCTACCACTTATGTTCACATCTATGTGCATCTATGAGTTAATATGCTCCTGCGGAGCTGACTGTATTGGATGTTGTAAGCGGGCTCTCCGAAAAGGTGTTGCTGAACAATGACCGGTTCGGCTTAACAAAGGAGAGCGGAAAAAAACGATCTCATCCATACGTGAACATCTAGTAGAGTTAGGTCATTCAGCGCCTCGAGATTCATCCTTTAGGGTAATTTACAAAGTTGAATTGAACTAATCCAAAGGTTCAAGGTCCCACCACTTATGCCCAGATGAAGCATTATCCATACATGAACAAAAACGAAACTTTGTATTCAAAAACGTTTTGTGAAACCACTTTCTCTACCTTGGCTTCAACAATTCATTTTGGTTATTTTGTCAATTTCATTTCACTTCACTTTAGTATACTTCTCTTTTGTTATCATCCTTATCACCAATCTTTACTTCATTGAGAATATTTGACCCATATTTCACTATTTAATATCAATTCGCTCCTTATTCAATGACCTATTTTACATGCTTCAGTTAAATTATCATCGTTTTACAATTCTTTGACAGCACTTGTCCCTGATTTCATCACTTGTTATCAGTTTGTTCCTTATTTAGTGGTCCATTTGCTGTTTCTCCCACTTGAACAAATACCACCATCAACACCTATTATATATTTTGTATATTTTGCATATTGATTGAGCAACTTTTTAATGCAATTATCTGTCATTTCACCGAGTATAAATACGACTGTATAGCTTGATAGTGAAGTCATTGAAAAGAAATATTTATTCTTAGCTGATACATGACCTGTGGATAAGCAGTGGGTTGTCGGCTAAAATCTAATCCCACCTATTTTGGGAGAGACTCTTAAACGTCACTCTAGTAACTGTTAAAATAACTAATATGGTTTTTTTGGTCGATGAAGAGGTTACTTGCTCAACCAAAATAAAAAAAAACCGATTAATTAGCTAATTCAGTAGCTGATATGATGGTTTTTTAAAGTCATTTTGTTTTGGTCTAGACAACTAAGTAGTACAATAAACCCTTAACAAAATAAATTTTGCTAACAACCAAGTAGAGAAAACTGAATTAAATTGTGTGTACTTAAGAAATGCAATTACGATGCAAAATAAAACGAAACCCATCAAAATAGTTTCTTTTAAAACAAATACAAAGGAAGTTAAGAGGGTATATGCACATATCACGATGATGTATGTAATGCGAACGAAATGTCTAGAAAATCAATTAAGATTTTTGTAAAAATAAGCTGGTGGATGTACAAACTGTGAAACAAAAATGAGTAAAACATAGTGAGCTGAACTTAAAGTGAGCATGGAAATACAACTTCATTGAGAGATTATGTCACCAAACGATAGGTTTAAATTAGGTACAATACAGAATGAAAGTTCGTAACGATTTCGCTTAAATGCATAAATTAGGCTTGAGACCTTCAATAGCTACAGCTTCGGTAGGCCTGGGGTACTACGTTTTCTCTTGATATATAAATGTTACCTTGATGCGATGATCAGGCTTGTGTATCACAATGACGCAACGAGTTACACTGAATGGGACGATTGTTTCGTCGAGGTCCTACCATGCCAGAAAAGTTTGTTGGATAGTGGTAAGATGAAAAGCAGTTACCAGTATATTGTAAATTGCTATGATATGATGAAGGGTTAGAGGGCAAAGTCTTACTACTGGTTGGAAGTGGTGTGACAGCAGTAAGGTGTTTTACCAATGATGACTAGTGGTGTCCCACTGATGCACAAGGGCTAATGTAATTTAGACTTATGTTTCTCTGTAGCTTATACAGATTTATTTTGTACTGCACTAACCCCTTACTAAACTTCTCTGCATTTATTCAATTTAATATTAGCGGGAAGACTTAATTATCCTTATATATATATATATATATATATATATATATATATATATATATATATATATATATATATATATATATATATATATATACAGCAAACAATAAGCAGCTTATATACACGATGAGACAAATATAAGCAAGAATGAAATTAAAATGAAATACCTTTCAGGAGTGCCGACGCCGATTGTATCACATAGTGAAATTTCATAACAACCACGACTCCACAAAGTTTCAGTCAATTTAGCCACAGTATCCGGTGAGACATATCCCTCATATGGACAACCAACTACACACGAGATATAACCTCTAACCGGTAAGTGGTTTGATTTAGCTATCTGAAAGACCTGAAACAATGAATAAAGTAGGACATGAGGTAATCACGCGAAGTATAACAGAGATTTTTTTAAATAGGTTATCGAGATAACTAGGACAATAACAACACTGTCCAAGGAATAGTAACTACACAGCAAAGACAACTCTCCCTTTTCAATAATATAACGTGTCCACCAGTAAATCAGTTGAAACAACTGTGGCCATCTAGGATAATTATTCTCCCACTACTTCTCAACTCAATATCCACTTGAAGGCTTGACTGGAAGACTAACAGCATTCACGGCATCCAAGAAGTCCACACTTCAAGATACCTATGTGGAACCGTGAATAAAGTCTCTATTCTTTGATTCGAAAAGTACATTCAATATATATGTTAACTTATTAACCCTAGGTTTTGCTGATAATGATATTGCTTAAAATGTTATATTCCCGTTAACCGTCATCTACGAATTTTAAGTTAAAAGGTTCACTTCGAATATTAGTTACGTGAGGAATAAGACAACAAGAACGTCGTTACTTCATCGAAATCATGATGCCAATTAAGAACCTAAAAGCTTCATGTATGGTCACTAGGGTCTATTTTGTCACATAACAAGGGGGTGTCTGCTACAATTTCCTCCGAACCACAACCTGACATTGGATAACACCAAATTCTACTACTGTGATCGTCACTACATGGCATCTCTTTCTTGACAATAAATGACTTGCAAGCCTTCAAACACTAAGACTTAACTCCATTTGCTCGCTTACATACATGTTTATTGTCTGTCAAATAACCTTTGAAGACAGAAAGATTAACATTGAACGTAGCACAGAAGTGCATCATTTCAAGTTTTCACACTTCACAACAGCATGCAGAGAAAAAGTGGATAAAAAAATAGATAGAAATAAGTAAAAGTGTATGGGAAGAGACAGAATTAAAAAACATGGCTATTGAAAATGATTACGACTTCAAAGACAACATAGTGTATACATCTGTCACTGTGACCAATTCCCAGCTATATCACCGAGTCACTAACCACTGGCTGTTAGTATCTCGAGAACCCTAACCAAATAATCTACACCCACCTACACGACCCAAACTAACAATAGGCCTAAACCTTTTTTCAACCCAGTCCTACTTCAGAGGTTAGTAGTGACTCAGCATGTGCAGCATATTTCCAGGTCAGTTCACTCACTGGTACCTTCTCCATGTTTCACTTTCGTCAACGACCACTGTTCCTCATCATTGTGAAGATTCTTAGTCGATTCACGTTTAAGCTGTTTTCACTCCTCATTGAGGTAAGAGCCAACTGGAATGAATATTTTGAAGACAATCAATTCAAATGAAGTTACAGAAATCCACAAGCTTTCACCTAGGTCACTAGCTATTTTTACTGCTGTTCCTACAGTAGTTTGAACATTGGGCCAGGTTTCATCAGAATGAGTCACTAGCATGTTTAGAAAAGCACTTAACTATCCACCAGATAATAGCTGCTGTTCTAATCTTTCAGCCCAACAGACAAACTTCAAAGCTATTTTTCTTGCATCATTAAAGCATAAATCCACACGTGCCTGTAATAATGCATAACTGAAGTTTAAGCAACCACCCGAAAAAGAGTGATGAACTTTTACTGAACTTCAGCGGTGCGCTGTGTTCACCGCTGCCTTGCTGTCAGCGGACTCTAAGTGCGAAAGTTTCTCCTTATGACTAAAGGTAGTACAGGAACAGAATTGTACGAGACGATCATCTTTGTCGTTCTGTCGGTATGAGATACCTTGAAGATACCATACTGATTGGTTCCGATTTCTCACTTGAGTGTTAAAGTACTCGCTAGTATGATAGCACACTGACTAAACGACTTTCTAGACACGTAGTGCTGAGCTAAACACTTGGAAAAGACTTTACTGGTGTGCTACATATAACAGCGGGTTAGCAACAACCTATTTAGTTCAGAAACACTTAAAACCTTCAGCCACTGGACCGTACCACCATTATCAGCTTCCACCACACTTAAGTCATCACATTCAGTACATGCATTTGGACTTCCAAATATCGTAACATTTTCCGAATACCATATCCTACTCACCTGGACTTAGTTGACTTTCAACTACACAAAAGGATCTGGTGGGTTACCACCTTCCGTGGTAAGAAATTAAAAACTTCGCTTTTAAATCGTCATATAGGCGCAAATAAAGATTCATAAAACGAGATCCACGTTTGAGCGCCTTACAGCAATATGGGTCTTTGTGACGTTTATGTAGATGTTACCACATATGTTTATACTCTTATGAAGGCATTTTCGGTCTACTTTTATCAAATTTGGTTGCTACAAGCCGTGAAAGTTAGGTATGTGTTTGATTAACACTCTCAGAAGTCAATAGAAAACTTGTCATACTATCGGCATCAAACAACAGGAAAACAAATGCAAACAAGAGAATGGTCGTTAAAATCTTAATTCTAGAATCTAAGTTAGCTATCATTCAGCAGCAATAATGGAATGCAGCAACTATTTGCACGGGTATGTACTAAGGAATGAGCTACACCTATTGTGTGGGGGATGTGATGACAATATGTGGCTACTTAAACCCTGGTAATTGGAGCTGACTTTGAACTTATGGCTCACTAGTTGAAAACCAAATTTCTAATTTAATGAACAATGACCTTTTTAATCGTGTTCCCATACTTCATACTTACGCGGGTTATGGCTAATAACAATGTTTAGATAATACTAAGGCATAATAGACAGTATAAATGGTCTTGTTGTTAGGCCACGAAAGCAACGTACCTCATCAAATCGTTCCACGCTTTCTTGGATACTACAATTGATATTTTTCATGGAAAACGCTTTCGATGCAGCTGCAAAAATGGCGACACCATTTGCGTTTGCTTCTATGGCTTTCAGCAGACCACTTTTATTGGGAACAAGAGCCAAATATTGTACTCCCTTGACACGTTTAATACGCTTGAAAACCGCTGCAGCATCAGCTAACTGAGGAACCCGACTTTCACGAACAAAACTGGATACTTCAATACAAGGTAGACCAGCAGCAGAAAGTCTTTATTAAGATGCTGTGGATTACTGAAAACATACCTGTCTATGAGATCCACTTTGATATCAGTTGAAATAGTGGATTTCTCATTCTGCAATCCATCACGTGGACCAACTTCCACTAATTTGACTAATTTAGCTGGATTATGAGTTGAAAGACTGGTCGAAACTAAGCGATTTATTTGCAAGATATGGATGAGCGGGTAACACGTGAACTTTAATATCATTACCAACCACGAGGTCTCCAAAATTGATAAGTGAGTGTAAAATTTGAGTACAAGGGCAGGTTTTTTAAATCAGCGTGACTGCGCGACATTCGAATCGGTTGAAAAATAATGTCAAGTAAAGAGGGCTATTAGTCATGCAGAATAAAAAATAAAGTTTTTCAATTAAATAGGTCCGTAAAAGTTAGCGTAGAAATGTGTCATCCGTTTCAGCACCTGACTTTCAACCAGTGTATCAAAAGCAAACAGCCTGTTCCACTCACTTTGACCTGGCATCTTCATATCCCAAGTTCTTACATAGTCAGTTTGGTTCATAGCCAAATGCGTGAGAGTTGCATCTAATGGTTGATTTGCATTAATTGATACTCAGTAGCGATTCGCTTAAGACAATAATGTGACAGCTGTCACCTAGGCAGATCTTGTGGTGTCCATGTTTATAACAACCAGTGGTGTTTCCAGACATCGGTAGAGAGACAAACTAACCCAGAACATTGACAAAAGTGCAGGGGTTCAAGTTTCCACAGTTGATAACACAAAGGGCGAAGATATTAAACCAAACAAGAATGATGTGGTAGAAAGAAAACAAAGAAAGAGCATTAAAATGTGAGAAGAGGCAGACTAATCAGTGAAAATGTTCACAATTTCCAAGACAATAATAATAGGCAGACACATTTGTTTTAAAACTTATAATCGCAAACCATCAGTATTTAAATACTCCAAGATGCCAGTCATGTGATCTACTTTTTCTTAACATTCCCGACGCTTGAACCGGGTATAGATGTAAAGTAGTCCTTCAGAAACATTTTATATTTGACAAGTAAGAAATGCACATTAAATGTACACAGAATTTCGGGCACGATATTTGGAATACCTTGAATTTTGTTGATGACTCTGCCATACATGCCTGTCACCTGTTAACTTTAGATTGGCCAGAACATTTCCAGGCAGATTACCTCTTAAGAAGTTGGAAGTGTAAGTAAGCCAAGTACAAGTGTTTGTGAAATAGGCTGAGTCAGGTTTATTGCACGAGGGAATATGATCCATCCATCCAAGTCAACATAGGACCAGGCATTACTGAATAACGGTTCGAGTTGTCACAGCTCGTATCAGTACATCAAGTAAAAAGGCAGTAAAGTGGAGGATGAAGAAAAGAAAACCCAGCCGAAAGAAATATAAAGTACGAAGTGAGAAAAAAGAGGAATGAGAAAGTGGTGAGATCTGAGGAAATATGACAGTGCCCAGTCGCCCAGGCTGAGCTAGGAGGAGCATGATTCGAACCCCAAAATGATAGCTTGATCCGAATTATTAAACCAGCGCACCATGTAAGAAGTAAACCAACCCACTTATCTTAGGATATTTAAAGGAAGGTTATGTGGCAGACATTACGAGCTGGCTTCACATCGAATTACAACTGTGAGCTTTAACGTGGCTATATAGGTTTGAGTAGATGTCATTGACTGTCATAACATACGCCTGACTCTCTTTACAAACAAATCGTCATAGTACTTAAAACGGCTAGGGCGAATGATATCATAGGTTTGGAGTGGCTTCGAATATTTTCACAGACCTCTTCAACAATTATTGCGGCAAACTATGCTACTTGGAAAAAGATAGTCTCAACGTAGTCAAGCCAAAACACACCTCATGAAAACTACCAGTTTCTGTCAATCAGAGGTGTAAGCCTTTTGGTTTAGATTATTAAGACTGACAAAGCTGATGGTTGTGAAATTCAGCCAAGGCAACTTGGGCAAAGGACTCGAACCCTACTCCTCCTAATAAGATGTGAGCAGCCACGTAGTAATATCGTTTATTACACAATAGGTGTAGTTTATTGTCTGGTGTACAAACATGCATACGGTAATGAATCACATTGTCTGAATTAAATTCCGTACTTAACATGATTTACTGTACATGAATTGGTTTCTTTACATTCGCTTCTTGGTTTTACGGAAGAGTCCCAGGTTTCTGTTGCACTATATCCATCCACTCGCCTCCCATAGCTTTGTTAAACCAAACGAGTGGTTAGATGTCGGTTCAACCAAGTGGGAAATGTATGGTTGGTTTTCAGGTGGACAAAAAAGACAAACGGCTGAGTAAAAAGACCGTGCGGCTCTTGGGATGACCAAACAGAAGAGAGAGGACCCTTTAGCAAGCTGCAGCTTTGCAAATTGTTAGTTTACGCTTTGCTCAAAATAAAGCATAATTTGCTGAGATTCACGGTTAAGGAGATAGAAGAGAACTTCCAATGAACTTAATGATGGGGTTATGGATATTTCATAAACGTTCACAATTAGAATTACAAAAGGAATTAACATCATGGTAAATGACCTAAAAATTGGATTAGAAGTGGAAGTGAGGTCAGGATAGCCAAAGGTCACGAAATACGACCTCTTTTCAGTATTGGATTTATTCCTTGGCTTCACGCAGCCAGCTGAACCATAAGATTTCGTCATCAGTGAAGGAACTTGAAACTACCTTACACTTATTCGTTAAGAAACTGTTGTTTCTTTTCGATTTTTAATACAGAAATCACAATAGATGACGTTTAGGAACGTATCTAGGCCTTCGACTCACCGCTAGAAGTAAGGGAACAAGTGACAGAGATATTCATCCATATGGCTCCATAAGATCAAACCACTTGAACTGTAATATGAACGTTCATAACCTTTCAAGTGGTCTTACGTCATCTCTAAATTATTCCTAAGAACCTTGGTAGAAAGATTTAGGAATTTAATACTTCCCATTGTAACGTTAAGTACAAGATATGCAGCAAAGAGACTCTTCCCAACGAATTTCTTTCCAAGCTGTACATTCGCATATATATGATATTTAAAAATCATATCCCGTGAGGAAAATTAAACATCATATGATGATAATGGTGACAAACATAATAAAAGTATGGTGACAGGTATTTGCATGATAACAGTTGAAGTAAGACGACTTTAAAATTGCTTATAAAATCCGCTCCAACTTCCCACGTTTTCTTCGTTTTCGACTACTTAAAACAGCTGAAGCTTTAGCTATTCATGAACTGAAGCCTGATCTGTGTGTTTTAGAGAAGGATGAACAGTCACCGTTTTTACAATGTCCATGACATCTTTCCCCCTACAATAGTTTCCCTTCTTCCTTCGTTACATTATTCTTTGAATCCTTTTATCACCCCTACTGTTACAATAATAATCTTCACTTTAAACAATATCCAGTGTTATTTCACTTAATTGTCAAGCAGGCGACACCGGTAGGAAACCATAACGAGGCCACTACAACCACTGATGGAATTGTTTAAGGGAATCTTAATACTGACTATTGACCATTAGATATCCTTTCAATATTTTGCGTATGCACTCGATTACGCATCTAGCAAGTATATGCTTCTCTAAGTTCCTTGCTAATAGTTTCAGGGTACCTGCCGCGCCAACCATCATTGCAACGTGTATAATGGAGGTGAGTAACGTGTGTTTCTCGTATATTGCGTTGTGTGTTATAATATAATAGCATCTAGAATTCAAGGACCCATCTTTCGTTGAGAAATTCAGATCCGTCTTGTTACAGAAGCGTGTGCCTTGTCACCGATCCACGTTTTGCAGACGATGTAGACGAATTTATGAAGCAATTTCGGAAGAGTACGACAGGTGTATAAAAAAATTTATTCGGGATGTCAAAATGCTTTCCGGAATTTCTAAATAAGCCTATTTTATAAAGAATAATACCCAGATGTAACTGAAGTATGTGCAGACCGGATGGAAGTAGTTGATTGCAACCGTATTTCCACTACCGGAACGAGTGATAGCGGTATTTCTCATTACTCACTTCTTATGAATAAGATATCGAAACCGCTGTGCCTTATGCTGCACTGGAAGACAATACGGTAAGTAGACACGAGCGGATGATGAAGATGGTAATGAGTATGACGCTGTGAACAAACACAACGCAAGCCGATGGTGACGTTGTTTTGCAAATATTCCGCGATGAGTTTCCTCAATTGCCTCGCAGTATTCGAAGTGTATTACGAAGGTGTTCTGCATGTGAGGCCAGAGTTATAGGCTCAGGAATATATCACCATATTTGTCCTAAGAGTTGTGTACTCCGTTATGTAGAGCAGTGGCTAGGTTTCAGTACCTTCAACGAAGTTGAACCTCAGCTGAACTACGATGGACTATCTAGTCAGCTCCTGTGGCCTATATTAGGTAGATTATGTTACTGAAGTCTAGGCATGTGGCATCTTCATATGGTTGTTGAATGAGATTGATAAAGGTTTGTGGCATTGAGTGGTGTTGTAGCAGCTGCCTGCTGAATTACTTCTCTGTCGATTTTGTCGAGGGCCTTTCCATAGTCGATGAAGATGAGGTAGAGAGTTGACTGCCGTCCTACACTCTGTTCTATGATGATGCGAGGCGTTGCAATTTGTTCCGCACATGATTTGTACTTCCTGAAGCCTGTCTATTTCGGTCGTAGTTTTGAACCTAGCGCATCCTTTAACCTCTCCAGGATGATGTGGCCTAGGGACGTAAATGAGAAGAGTCTAAAATACGGTGCTCACGACAGTTCGGTCTTTCAGGGGGACTTGCGAAAATTCCTGGTTTGGCAACAGGAACCCCGCGTCTTCTCAACATGAGCTGTCGGATAGTAATGGTTGGCAAGGACAAAAGCGGTCCCAAATCATACTCTCTGGGTGAAATAAATCCCTGTCACTCTAACATGGAACAAGGTCTGGAAGTTGTATTGAGCGACACACCAAGAGTTTCAGTCCACTGTCGTCTTGCAGCCAACCAGGCCTGCGAAATCTTCGGCTTCTCTCGAAAACTTTAGGGGTCCGGCTCCTCTTTTCACCATAGCACGTACGCACTTATCCAGAAAAAATCCTTTTCTGATGTCCCCATACTTAAAGAAGGGCATGGCCATACTAGAACGGGTGCAGAGAAAAGCTAGAGTAGAAAAGTTAGGCTTCGGCACAAACCATACCCAGAACGCCCAGTTGCCCTAAAGACGCACTCAGCAGAACA